GGCGGGGAGTGGGAGGGGGCTTTTACAACCTCATAGAAGGAAAAGGAGAGTCTCAGTTACCTTGGAAACGTCCACCAGCCCTGCGCTATTTTGCTGTGGAATAAATCCTCTTTCTGTGAAATACCTTCTGGTGTGAAGACGCTGCTCTGGACTCTTGTTTTCCAGTTGAGACTACTGTACGAATGTAACCCAATGGCCTATGTCATCGAGAAGGCGGGAGGATTGGCTACCACTGGGAAGGAAGCTATACTGGACATCGTTCCCACTGACATCCACCAGAGGGCGCCAGTCATCTTGGGGTCCCCGGAAGACGTGACTGAGTTCTTGGAGATATATAAGAAGCATGCTGCCAAATGAAGAGCTGACCTTGCCTGCCCCCCGTCCCCGCGCCCCGCCCAAAAAATTGCCTTTTATCTGGACTTTTATCTGACACGGCGCTACCCCATTCTGACTGCATTATACATTCCTAGGCAGCAGAAATAGAAAGCACAGATATCTTCACCATCAAGTGCTGTGTAATGCCTAGTGCTGCCTAACCAAAATGCTATCTATATAACGCTACTGATGATCAAGATATATTTTGAATAGATAGAGGAGAAATAAACCTATTTTTCCTTTTTCTAAAAAGTCTTCATTGCTTTGTGTTAAATAATGGTAAAAGTCATAGTGACAGTCAATGCATATAACATTAGGTAACTCATTTAATCTTCACAGCAACCTAATTAATTAGGTGCTATGAATAACTCATTTCACCGTGACATCATATGGAGGACAGAGAGGTGACATAATCTGCCCCAGGTCTCCAGCCAACGAGCCACAGAGTTCAGATGAACCTAGGCAGTCTGGCCACTAAACTCAGAGTCAGCCTATTGCTTCTCCTAACGTATTGTCTGTGCAGGTCTGGATGTGCAGACCTAACCTGAGCAAGGCTGTTTATACTTCTACTAGAGGCCTAGTGCACAAAATGTGTGCACAGGGAAGGGGGTGTCCCTCAGCCTGGCCTGCACCCTCTTCAATCTGGGACCCCTCGGGGGATGTCCGACTGCCAATTTAGGCCCATACCTATGGGATTGGGCCTAAACCGGCAGTCAGATATCCCTCTCGAAATCCAGGACCACTGGCTCCTAACCACTCACCTGCCTGCCTGCCTAATGCCCCCAACTACCCTCCTCTACTGGCCTGGTTGCCCCCAACTGCCCTCCCTGCCAGCCTGATCTCACCCCCAACTGCCCTCCCCTGCCAGCCTGTTTGCCCCCAACTGCCCTTCCCTGCCGGCCTGATCACCCCTAACTGCTCTCCCCTGCTAGCCTGATCTCACCCCTAACTGCCTCTACCTCGACCCCCCACCACCATGGCTTTGTCCAGAAGGAAGTCAGACATCCGAAAGATGGCTGGTCGACCCGGTCTAATTAGCATATTACCCTTTTATTAGTATAGATTGTCTGTGCAGGTCTGGATGTGCAGACCTAACCTGAGCAAGGCTATTTATACCTCCTGGGGCCTGGAGAGGTGATAAGTTTGTGATGGTGCCCATCCACAACCTCTTGGCCTCCCATACATGCACATAATTATCTAAGTCACAAATGAAGGTTTATATTATTACTCGTGGTGACTTTTAAAGGTCTAATTACCATAAGGAAGAAGACTCATCATTAAACGCACAATTTATGGAAATAATAACATTGTTGCAAGCAAGTGAATTTCTTATTAGACTCTTTGTATAAACATTTACTCCCTTAGCTGACCCTGGTTCTTTCTGGATTAGAATTGCCAAGATCATGGCAAATTATACTAGGTTTTAAGAATCATTGGTGGTTTTTGTTGAGTTCTAGTTTTTTTTATTTTTAAATATGTTTCAATTACAGTTTACATTTAATATTTTTTTGTATTCATTTCAGGTGTACAGCAACTTTACAAAGTTAAGTTCTTGATGTTATAAAAATTATTTATTTTTACTTGTGAACTTGAAAAAGTTTTTTTGTGTGTAAATCCTGATCCTTTTTTGTTGTTAATCCTCACACAAGAATATTTTTTCCATTGATATTTTTTTGAGAGAGGGAGGAGGAAGAGAGAAAGAGAAACATCAATGTCAAAAGACACATCAATTGGTTGCCTCCCACACACACCTGACTGGGGCCTGGGATCAAAGCTGAAAAAAACATCAATGTGAGAGAGATACATTGATTGGTTGACACACACACACACACACACACACACACACACACACACTCAACCAGGGCCTGGGATTAAAGCTGAAACCCAGGTACATGCCCTTGACCAGGAATCGAACCCATGACCCTTCAGTACGCAGGCTGATGCTCTAACCACAAGCAACACTGGCCAGGGTCCTGCTCCGTTTTCTTTAAATACACCTCATCAATTCCACGATTTTCCAACAAAAAAACTTAGTTTGATCTTAAGCATTGGACCTGCTTTTATGCACTGACTAGACCCAACGCCAGTATTTCCTCCCTCCCACTGAGGCTGGTCTTGCAGAAAAGTCCTCTGACTCACAAAGCACCTTTTGGTTTTTAATCAACTTGTCAGTTCTTACACCTTCTGGTTCTCAAAGCACCGAGGGAGATGTGTCGGTCTGGGAGCTGGATGGAAATGATACGCCCCCACTTCAGTGCCATTGTTTTCAGTGGAATGAGTGTATGGTCTTTCTCCACTGCTAGTGGGAGTGGGGGTCCTGGGGTACCGCTGGAATAAGCATTCCAGGGGCCCCCATGGGAGGATGAGATGTGGTGGAAAGCTTTATTTTTGTGCAACCAACCAACCAACCACCTCAACGAAAACCTTTTATTAAATTTGAGGGCCCAGCCAGTGTGGCTTAGTGGTTAAGCTTTGACCAATGAACCACAGGAGGTCACGGTTAGATTCTGGTCAGGGCACATGCCTGGGTTTCCAGCTCGATCCCAGGAGGGGGCGTGCAGGAGGCAGTGATCAATGATTCTCTCCCATCATTGATGTTTCTATCTCTCTCTCCCTGTCCCTTCCTCTCTGAAATAAAACAAAAAAACAAAAAACAAAACAAAAAAACCCACCAGTTGTGGCGATGAAGGGAAAAATGGAAAGAAATGGTTTTAGCAGTTCTTCCTTGTACATTAGTAGTTCTTACCCTCAGCCGCTGGCATCTCTGGCTGGGAAAGGAATAAATAAAATTGGCAGAAATTGCCCATTTTCATTTCTGTTTAAATTCAGGTAGAGCCTGTTCAAGCTGAAAGATTTGTTGGGGCTGCTTTGAGGAACGAAGAAGCCAATCAAATGCTGATGAGACGGTAGTCATCGGTCAGCAATCCGTTCGTCAGGAGCCGCCTCCTTCGGGTGTTTCATTCCTCAATATTAGGCAAACTGTGGGTCACATGACCCAGGGGGCTGTGTTCTTAGTGAAAAAAAGAAAAGATGAGGGTGCACGTCATGTTCTAAGTGTAAGATTGTTTCGTTTCATTCCTGTACTCATGTGCGCATGTGAGTGTGTGTTGATGCTGGTTTGTGATGGAGCCAGTGTTTCCTACCGTGGGTCATGGTCAACACAATGGGAGCATCTGCCCTGGTCTTCGCTGGCTCTGGAGGGTTTTCTAAGTCCCCATATTTCCGAGAATCTCCTTGGTGTGTGAGTGATGTGGGCCACATTGCTCCCTGGGGGATGGGCGGCAACTGGCAGGAACTCGTGGAATTGATGTCCTCACCAGACTCGCGGCCCTGCAGCCCAGTCTTAATTTGTTTAAAGAACGATGGAGTAGGCAGGTGAAAGACATCGATGCCCATAACAAGATTAAATTAGCGGGAGCTGGCAAGAAGGCATGCTCTGTTCTGAAAGTGAAAATAGAGAAATGAGGGAATATCAAATTAGTAAAATCGGAGGAGGGCGGTAATTGGAAAGAAGGTCCCAGCTGCAGGAAATCAGGGGCCTGTGGGAAGGCTGCTGTGGGAATATAATCAGGACATCACTGTTCGTGAAGGAGGGTCCCTCTAAGAAAATGCCCTATTTCATCAAGAAAGCATCTTGATAATGCATCTTGCTAATGGTTGAACTGAAAAAAAAAAAGAACAACAAAAAGAACCGCAAAACAGAACAAAAATGTGTTTTGTTTTCTTTCTTGTCCTAGAACTCTACCGACGAGCCTTCTGAGAAGGATGCCCTGCAGCCAGGCCGGAACCTGGTGGCGGCTGGCTATGCCCTCTATGGCAGTGCCACCATGCTGGTGCTGGCCATGGCCTGTGGGGTCAACTGCTTCATGCTGGACCCGGTGAGAGAGCCTGGGGGCAGGGGGTGGGGGGTTAGGTGCCTGGCCGATGGCTGTGTCAGATACGTGTGTTGGGCATGGACTGGGGTACATAGAGGGGGGGAGATGACGTCTGGAGGGACAGAGGTGGGTGGGGGCGAAGTGGAAGACCACATGTATGTCAGGAGATTATTGAGGTGAGGATTAATGTCTGTCCAGAACATGAAAGAGGGCCTTTGTTCCAAGATGAAATCTTCGGAACAGACGTTATTCAACTGACTCCAAGGCCCATCTAGGCCGGGCAAGCCATGTGAATGAGTAGAGCGTGCTGCCAAGCCAGGCCAGGGGGTGGTGGGACTGTGGTGAACTGGACAGGTGTCGATGTTCAGGAAACACTATGCTGTGTGTTTTTAATGTGATGGTTCTGGATTTGTAAAACACCGTGCTAGCCAACTAAATGCATTCATGGACCAGATGGGGCCTGTGGATGGCCTGTTTACCCCCCACTGTATTCATCACTAATGTCCTCAGTGAACGGTAGCCCACCTGAACGCATATGCTGTGCACTGGCAGACACACCTTTGGTAACCTCCGCAGTTCTGACAAGGCTCTGATGAACTCAAGGGCGTGAAAGTAAAGAAGGAAATGGAGATCAGTCGTTGGCCCACCTTATGGAGAACAGCTACCTTATGGAGAGAAGCCCAGGGTGCATGAACAATACTCATTGGCAGTTTTCATTTGTGGATAAGTCCTACGTATCTATTCATTGGGGTTATTTACCTATTGATTCAGCAGTCGCCAACCTTTCGGACCTCACGGACCACCAGTGGCCCGCGGACCACCAGTTGGCGACCGCTGATTTAGATGACAGTGTCAACAGAGCAGATGAATGAGGGAAAGAAATCTTTTCAAATATCTGGTGCCACGAAATCCACCACTGAATACACACCCCATAGGACAGTCTTTACTAGGTTGGCATGTTCATTGTGTGTTTGGCCCCGTGCCCCAAGGGTTTATAAACACCTTTTACTTTTAGAAATGTCCTTGGGTGACATTAATGACGCATGTTGTTTATTTGGTGCTTTTTGCTGACAAACCGAACACAAGGACGAGCAGCTGGCTGGGTCCTGGGAGCGACCGGCTGCTCCTGGAGAGGCTGGGGTTGGTTTGCGGCAGGGCCGGTAAACCAGGGTGCGGGCGCCTTTGCCCCCTGCACTCTTGCACAACTGCACTTTGCCTCCTTGGAAGTGCCGGCGTTTAATAAATAAACAGGGGTGGGGGACAGCACTCGAGTAAGTCTCCAGCGAGGTGACCTGAGGGAAAACAGTGGCAGAACCAGAGCACAGTTCACTGGGAGCCGGGGCTGGGGCACAGCTTCTGAAATCACCGGTGTCTCAGCTCCCAGACACGTCCTGCCTCCTCATGGCCTCCCGGGCTGCCTGTTGCCTTTGCTGATGGATGCATCGAAAAAGTAAATCTCTTCTTGTTTCCAGATCGCAGGCGGTGTCTCTGGGAGTCAGTGTCTGTGTATTTGATGGTCCTTTGCCCTCCTCACACCCACTGGCCGCTCGGTGTTTGGAAGGACTGCCTGTCCCCTGCGGGCTGCCTCCCGGATCCGGGATCTGGCCAGCCCTCTGCTGGCGGACGCCTGTGGGCTGAGCCTCGGATCGTTTAGCCTTTCCTTTTCCTTTTGGCTTGCTGCACGCGCAGGCTGAGGGTTTCTGCTGAGAAGCTATGTTTGCATTTTCAGCTCGCCAGGCATTTAACGTTCAAAAAGCTTTTCCGTCTCTTGTCACGAGTGCAGGAGGCCTCCCTCCACACCTGCGCTGCGGGCGGTGTCTGCAAAGCATGGCTGTGTGAGCTGCGTGGCGCCTGCCATGCAACGGCTTCATTTTCCAGACTTTTTAACCTTTTTTTGTAAAGATATTTATTTATTTACTTAGTCTTCTGACCATAAAAATATTTCTACATATTTGTGGTCAGAATAGTTGGAAATATCAAAAAGCATAAAAGAAAATAGAACCACTCCCAGTGACAGCTTCCAGTGACCACTGTTAATACTCGCCTCTTTTCTCTCCTCTCCCTCACCCTTCCCTTCCCTCCTCCCTCTCTCTCTAGTCCCACGTGCTCCATACTGGCAGGAACCAGTCTTCACTGTGGGAATAAATGGCGGGAGAGATGTGTTGATGGGGCCTCCCTTCTTCTAACTCTTGCCTCCAGGGAGCAACCCCCTCCCCAGATGAGCAGCACCCTGATCACCTTCTCAGTGACACGCAGGAGCCCCAAGCAAGCCTCAGTCTATTAGCCACAGGAGTTAATTGACACTTTCCCTCCCAACTGCAAAGTCTTTAGCAGAACCTAAGCTCTAAAGGCATCAGCTTAGCCCTGGGGCTTGGCGGGCGGGCGTTCTGACAGACCCTGAGAGTCAGTGAGCAAAGGCCGCTGACGTTACCTGTGCTGTGAGTCAAAACTCAGGCTCTGCTCTTTTCTAGAGCAACACACGGAAGGGAAACACCATCCAGGTGGGGACGGGAAGCTGAGAGCAGCCCTGAGCCCCTGGGCGAGCTGGTGTAGCCCAGCTGTCTGTCCCTTCTGAGGCCCGCCTCCTGTCTGCACCGACCTTTACTTAAATTAAATGTTTTCCAGAAGGCATGCACATCTCAGGGCGTGGGTGTCCCAGGGCCACGCGCTCCCTGTGCTGGTGATCGTCCCACAATGCAATGTCATGTCAGTGATCCCTCAAGAAGGAAAACCTGTGAAACAAAAGCCAAGCTCCTTGTGCTGGTGCATGGGTGTGACCGCAGGCCCTGCGCCCCCTCCCCCAGCTGAGCCAGCCTGCTGCATCCTCACACAGGCAGGGGGAGGGGGGGAGGGGGGCTCATCACCTCTCCCCCTTGCCTCCTGTTTCACAGGCCATTGGAGAGTTCATTTTGGTGGACAAGGATGTGAAGATCAAAAAGAAAGGGAACATCTACAGCCTCAATGAGGGCTACGCCAAGGACTTCGACCCTGCGGTCACCGAGTATGTGCAGAGGAAGAAGTTCCCCCCGGTAAGTGAGGGCGGGGAGCCCCTGAGCCGGGCAGAAATGTGCTGGTTCCTGACTTACCTGGAGGAGAACGGGGGCAGGGACAAGAGCAGCTTGGCTCCCACTGCGCACTGACCCCATGATTAAGTTCCCACCCAGGTCCCGGGGCCTGGGACCCCTGCCCTGGGAGGTCACAATCGGAACGTCTGTTTTAGCCTTTGCCGCTTTCTCTTGGCAGAATAAAATCAGGGTAATCGGGCCCGCTGGCTGCATGAGCTCATGGCAGTAAAGCATGTTTCACTTCTGGGGTCCCTGATCCCAGATGGTACAGAACGTGGCTCTTGCACCCAGGACCTGCCCCGCGGCGTCTGACGGGTCTGTCAGTCATCTCAGGTTCCAGGGTGCCCTTCTCGGTGTCTCTCAGTTACTAATTCCTGAGCATGAAGAGAGAAACAGCTGGTGGCAGAGCTGGTTCCATGTGGGGATGTCCAATTTTGTCACACTCTTGTCCCATGCCATTGATGCCTGCTGGGTCCTGAAGAGGAAGCCGAAAGGTCGTCAGCATGGCATTCGGGGCCCTCAGAACTGGCCCGGGCTCTCTCTCCAGCTCCGTCATCTCTCCTTCCACCTCGCCTTGGATTCCTCTCATGGCCCCTCCCCAGCCCCCGCCCCGTGGACAGCACTTGCTTCTCTGTTAGCTTGTGTACGTCCCTTCCCGCAAGATGAAAACCCCGCCCTTGCCCAGCGCCTTAGCTTGGCAAAATCCTTCCTAACCTGCAGGGTTCTGCTGAGTGGCACCATTTATGTGATGCCTGCCCCAACCCCATAGCTAAAATCAACAGCAGCTTCCATGGGGTTTCTGAGGGTAATTGGACCTGCTGTACAATGGAGGAGAGGCGGTCTCCACTGCTCCACTTTCTGCTCCTTGGGAACAGGATTTTCATCCCATTTCCTAAACAAGTACCTTGTAGGTGCTCACTAAACGATTGTCGAGCCTCCTTCGGGTGTTTCATTCCTCAATATTAGGCAAACTGTGGGTCACATGACCCAGGGGGCTGTGTTCTTAGTGAAAAAAAGAAAAGATGAGGGTGCACGTCATGTTCTAAGTGTAAGATTGTTTCGTTTCATTCCTGTACTCATGTGCGCATGTGAGTGTGTGTTGATGCTGGTTTGTGATGGAGCCAGTGTTTCCTACCGTGGGTCATGGTCAACACAATGGGAGCATCTGCCCTGGTCTTCGCTGGCTCTGGAGGGTTTTCTAAGTCCCCATATTTCCGAGAATCTCCTTGGTGTGTGAGTGATGTGGGCCACATTGCTCCCTGGGGGATGGGCGGCAACTGGCAGGAACTCGTGGAATTGATGTCCTCACCAGACTCGCGGCCCTGCAGCCCAGTCTTAATTTGTTTAAAGAACGATGGAGTAGGCAGGTGAAAGACATCGATGCCCATAACAAGATTAGATTAGCGGGAGCTGGCAAGAAGGCATGTTCTGTTCTGAAAGTGAAAATAGAGAAATGAGGGAATATCAAATTAGTAAAATCGGAGGAGGGCGGTAATTGGAAAGAAGGTCCCAGCTGCAGGAAATCAGGGGCCTGTGGGAAGGCTGCTGTGGGAATATAATGAGGACATCACTGTTCGTGAAGGAGGGTCCCTCTAAGAAAATGCCCTATTTCATCAAGAAAGCATCTTGATAATGCATCTTGCTAATGGTTGAACTGAAAAAAAAAAAAGAACAACAAAAAGAACCGCAAAACAGAACAAAAATGTGTTTTGTTTTCTTTCTTGTCCTAGAACTCTACCGACGAGCCTTCTGAGAAGGACGCCCTGCAGCCGGGCCGGAACCTGGTGGCGGCTGGCTATGCCCTCTATGGCAGTGCCACCATGCTGGTGCTGGCCATGGCCTGTGGGGTCAACTGCTTCATGCTGGACCCGGTGAGAGAGCCTGGGGGCAGGGGGTGGGGGGTTAGGTGCCTGGCCGATGGCTGTGTCAGATACGTGTGTTGGGCATGGACTGGGGTACATAGAGGGGGGAGATGACGTCTGGAGGGACAGAGGTGGGTGGGGGCGAAGTGGAAGACCACATGTATGTCAGGAGATTATTGAGGTGAGGATTAATGTCTGTCCAGAACATGAAAGAGGGCCTTTGTTCCAAGATGAAATCTTCGGAACAGACATTATTCAACTGACTCCAAGGCCCATCTAGGCCGGGCAAGCCATGTGAATGAGTAGAGCGTGCTGCCAAGCCAGGCCGGGGGGTGGTGGGACTGTGGTGAACTGGACAGGTGTCGATGTTCAGGAAACACTATGCTGTGTGTTTTTAATGTGATGGTTCTGGATTTGTAAAACACCGTGCTAGCCAACTAAATGCATTCATGGACCAGATGGGGCCTGTGGATGGCCTGTTTACCCCCCACTGTATTCATCACTAATGTCCTCAGTGAACGGCAGCCCACCTGAACGCATATGCTGTGCACTGGCAGACACACCTTTGGTAACCTCCGCCGTTCTGACAAGGCTCTGATGAACTCAAGGGCGTGAAAGTAAAGAAGGAAATGGAGATCAGTCGTTGGCCCACCTTATGGAGAACAGCTACCTTATGGAGAGAAGCCCAGGGTGCATGAACAATACTCATTGGCAGTTTTCATTTGTGGATAAGTCCTACGTATCTATTCATTGGGGTTATTTACCTATTGATTCAGCAGTCGCCAACCTTTCGGACCTCACGGACCACCAGTGGCCCGCGGACCACCAGTTGGCGACCGCTGATTTAGATGACAGTGTCAACAGAGCAGATGAATGAGGGAAAGAAATCTTTTCAAATATCTGGTGCCACGAAATCCACCACTGAATACACACCCCATAGGACAGTCTTTACTAGGTTGGCATGTTCATTGTGTGTTTGGCCCCGTGCCCCAAGGGTTTATAAACACCTTTTACTTTTAGAAATGTCCTTGGGTGACATTAATGACGCATGTTGTTTATTTGGTGCTTTTTGCTGACAAACCGAACACAAGGACGAGCAGCTGGCTGGGGTCCTGGGAGCGACGGGCTGCTCCTGGAGAGGCTGGGGTTGGTTTGCGGCAGGGCCGGTAAACCAGGGTGCGGGCGCCTTTGCCCCCTGCACTCTTGCACAACTGCACTTTGCCTCCTTGGAAGTGCCGGCGTTTAATAAATAAACAGGGGTGGGGGACAGCACTCGAGTAAGTCTCCAGCGAGGTGACCTGAGGGAAAACAGTGGCAGAACCAGAGCACAGTTCACTGGGAGCCGGGGCTGGGGCACAGCTTCTGAAATCACCGGTGTCTCAGCTCCCAGACACGTCCTGCCTCCTCATGGCCTCCCGGGCTGCCTGTTGCCTTTGCTGATGGATGCATCGAAAAAGTAAATCTCTTCTTGTTTCCAGATCGCAGGCGGTGTCTCTGGGAGTCAGTGTCTGTGTATTTGATGGTCCTTTGCCCTCCTCACACCCACTGGCCGCTCGGTGTTTGGAAGGACTGCCTGTCCCCTGCGGGCTGCCTCCCGGATCCGCGATCTGGCCAGCCCTCTGCTGGCGGACGCCTGTGGGCTGAGCCTCGGATCGTTTAGCCTTTCCTTTTCCTTTTGGCTTGCTGCACGCGCAGGCTGAGGGTTTCTGCTAAGAAGCTATGTTTGCATTTTCAGCTCGCCAGGCATTTAACGTTCAAAAAGCTTTTCCGTCTCTTGTCACGAGTGCAGGAGGCCTCCCTCCACACCTGCGCTGCGGGCGGTGTCTGCAAAGCATGGCTGTGTGAGCTGCGTGGCGCCTGCCATGCAACGGCTTCATTTTCCAGACTTTTTAACCTTTTTTTGTAAAGATATTTATTTATTTACTTAGTCTTCTGACCATAAAAATATTTCTACATATTTGTGGTCAGAATAGTTGGAAATATCAAAAAGCATAAAAGAAAATAGAACCACTCCCAGTGACAGCTTCCAGTGACCACTGTTAATACTCGCCTCTTTTCTCTCCTCTCCCTCACCCTTCCCTTCCCTCCTCCCTCTCTCTCTAGTCCCACGTGCTCCATACTGGCAGGAACCAGTCTTCACTGTGGGAATAAATGGCGGGAGAGATGTGTTGATGGGGCCTCCCTTCTTCTAACTCTTGCCTCCAGGGAGCAACCCCCTCCCCAGATGAGCAGCACCCTGATCACCTTCTCAGTGACACGCAGGAGCCCCAAGCAAGCCTCAGTCTAGAGCAGGGGTGGGCAAACTTTTTGACTCGAGGGCCACAATGGGTTCTTAAACTGGACCGGAGGGCCGGAACAGAAGCATGGATGGAGTGTTTGTGTGAACTAATATAAATTCAAAGTAAACATCATTACATAAAAGGGTACGGTCTTTTTTTTTTTTT